CCTGCTGTCTTTCTGCATTCTTTTTCCTTATCAAAATGTTATCATACAGATGCCTATCTAAAACTATGATTATTTTACTGCTGTCTTCATTTGAAATTATGTTTTTTTCTTCTTGAATTACTTGTTTACTTTTGAATTACTGGCATACTCAAGACCTCATAAAATCCTTATTTCAAAGTTTGTATGAGATAAATAAGATGGATGTATTACTTTTTAAAATACGTGGAGATTATTTGAATAATGGCTTTTTTACAAACCAGAGTTCACTGTCTTCGTAGTTTGTGTCAAAGTAACATGTATTGTGAGAATAGCAGATAGATTTTATGGAATAGGACTAAAAAGTCTGGAAAATAAATAAGATTAATTTAAAATACACTGATTAAATTGATACATGTAAGTGCAGAAAAAATGTATGATTGTTTTAATATAATTTAAACAGTGAAATCATTAGTGATCTTCCTTTGCAGTCACTGTTGCATGAGGTATTTGTCATCAGCAGTAATTCTGAGTGTTTCCTGCTGGCTTGGGTTACAGTGTTTCCAGACTAAGTTTAATTAACTCATGTTTTTTTCCATCTTTGATTACTGGTTGAACTGATAAACATCTTCATATAACGAGGTTAGGAAAATAATACATAAGATGTAGTTTTTAAACTTTATGAAATGTGTGAATTGAGACAGAGTATATTCTATTACAAAATACATATAATGTTTTGATGTAATTTTCTTGTTACAGATTCAGAATATGAATAATATAATCACTTTTCCATTGGACAGTTTGCTGAAGGGAGATTTGAAAGGAGTAAAAGGGGTATGTTTATCTTATATATATATCTTATCTTATATATCTTATATATCTTATATATAGCATTATTGTAGATACAATAAATACATTTAGCTAGTATATTAATCTTATTTGATATTTTAATTTATTTATTTATGATATTTAATTTTTGGTATTTTAATCTTATTTGATGAAAGGCATGGGATACTAGAATAACTTATTAGCTTAATATACAGGAAGGGTTTGTTGTTCTTTTGTGAACTGAGTCATCCCATCCCTTCTGTTTGTGGTTTCACCTGGAGCATGCTCTTGACTACGTATACACAACAACATTTGAGGAGCTTTAAAAGCAGCCCTGAGATATAGAGATAAGCAGAGAAAGAGGTGAAAGGATTTAGATATTTCTTTAGTTGAGTAGAGTGTAGTACTTTTTTAAAAAGGCATATTATTTTTAATAGATTTCTTTAGCATTCTAAACTTACCTAGATCTATATGGAGTATTAAGAAAGATACATTAGACTGCTTGAGCATAGGATTTTTCTTAACAAAGCTGAAGTCTGTTTGTCCCCTAAGGTTATTTCCTATTAGAAAAAATAACAATTTAAGACTCAAATTATATGTTTATAACACATTTCAAAGCCTATAGCCAACTCATTTGGTTTATGCTTTGTTTACTACTGAGCAAACAGGAAGTGACTGGCAGCTATTGTTCTAGGACATTAAAGGAAGAAGAAAAATGTACATAGGCTAAAAATGGTCTTTGTAAATGTGTTTTTGGAGGATAAAGAGATTGTTTAGTAAGATAGGCTTATTAACTTAGTGTTGCTTACTTACCACATTTCATTCCTCTTGTTCTTTTATTTTTCTGTCAGAATAAATACACTTATTGCAATACAATGTTGCCTCATGTTCCTGACTTGAGAAAATAACAAAATATTGCTTTAATTAATTTCATACTTGTCGAAATAACTACCTGACATGTAAGAATTAGTTCCTAATCTGTAGTTGCAAAGTTTTTCCAGCATCTGACATTTTTTTTTGTAGTTGGCTGATCTCTAGCAGAACTGCAACTGTTGCATTTTAGACATCAGTAATATAATTTCACAACTTGTTAATTATATCCAAAAAGGAAAAAAATACAGGAATTTGGAAAACAAGTGATTCAACATCCTCACAGAATTGGTTATGTTGAGCTGTAGGGCCTATAGGTTTTTTATTAAGCCAGTGGGAAATTGATTTCTTTAGCTTTAGTGGGATGAATCGAGTCCTTAGCTAAGGTTATAACACAGCCTCAGGACAGGTGCATTTTTCTAGTGGAGTTAGAGGTGGAATGATGGGAAAACAGCTGATTTGAGTAATTGCACAGTGCTCTGGGGATGAGATGTGGTTATACCTTTTAAGGAGCAAAATGGAGCTACAAAAAACATGCTAGGGATGCTTTTAAAAACATGAGTGTATAAATTCTGTTTACGAGATTGTTTTTCCTCTGCAAGAGGCTTTTTACGCAATCCTTAGGTGAGATATTCAAGAAAGAGTAGATTCTGTTATTCTAATAGGTGCTGCAAATGGCTAAGGTGTCTCTTCATTGTTATATTCACAGTATTTTTCATGTGATTAGGTAATTATTTTTTTTTTTACTTTTTTCTGACAGGACTTGAAAAAACCCTTTGATAAAGCTTGGAAGGACTATGAAACAAAAGTGTATGTATCTTTAAAACTTTTATTTAAAACGAAGGTATAACTGAAATCTATAAAGGTCATTAAATACTGTTAAGACCTGAGGCAGAAGTCCTAACTGGGAAGCTGAGTTGTTTTGTTTTGTTTTCTTAAAACCTGGCACTGTGTGAAACTACAAGTGCACAGACAGAAACATTTCAAACTCTGTAATATACTACTTATTTAATGAGTTAATTGTTTTTTGTGCATGTGTGTTTGTGTGCCATGACAATTAGTATCTGTGGTAGACCTCTTTGCTTAATGAAGTTTCAAGTAATATGCATGATCTCCCTGTGCATTTTCTTCCACTGCATGTTGTTCTACTTCAATTGAGAGAGTTTTGCTTTAATTGGGAAATAATTTTTGTATTGCTTCCTGTAATGTACTACATGTGAAAGTCCACTGCCTTTTCTGCCTTCCTCTACTTTTGAAGAATGCTAATATAGAAAATGAAAAGTTAGCCTTCTGTGTGTTCATCCTTAAAATACCAAAAGTGCAGCAACATAATTATGCTTGATGGCCTTTTAAGCAGTTGTTGTTGTTGTTTTCCTTTTCCTCATCAATGAATAATTCACTATAATTAGCAGGTTTCTTTAGTTGAAGAGTACAGAAATTATATACTTTATGTCTGAATTTTTTTAAGTGTTCTAAAAAAAACCCCCAAGAGTATGCAAGTTAAGATTTAGTTCTGAATTTGTTAGCCTAAAACCCTTGTAATGGATCTGTAATGTCCCTGGCTCTTGGACACCTTATGAGACTGTGCCCAGTGCTGAGGTATCTAGGAACACCTTCTTTGATGCTGAGCCTTTGGCACTTACCAGCGAGGTGGTAAGGCTGGTGGAGGTGTTGGCTGCTACCATTCCAAAACTGCATATGATTCCAGATTGATGCAGTACCAGGAACTTCAGCAAGCAACATTTCATTAGTGCAGTTTGTTTAAAGATACAGATATTTTCTGCATTTAATGTCAAGGTTGCAAGTTTCCAGCAGATGTGTTGTGTACTAGAAGTGGATGATCACTTATCTGAGTCTCGTGAACTTTGTCTCATGTGTCTAGCTCATCTTACTGAAAGCCACTTGTTTGAAAGCACCTGATGCACAGTATAAACAGCTATAAAATCAGTTTTAATAACTTAAGTTATATCCAGCCAAATCAAATAAGTCAACAAAGCTCAGCACCTGAGATCAAATATAATTAATGTTGATACCTTTTAAATCTTCAAGTGGTTTAGTGCCCTATCTCAGGAGCAGTTGTTTCCTGACTTGGCCAAGTCAATTGTATCAGCACAGCTGATAGTCTCTGAAGTAGAATTTTGCTTTGGGTTTTATTCCTTATTCCAGTATTACCTAGATTGTGACTATTGGTTGAGTTTCATGTCACACATCCAGCATCTTTGATCTTCTGAGATGGTGCTGCATGTATCAGACCGTTTCTGATTATATGGGTTCAGAAGAAGCACATATGATGATGCTGTTTAACATAAATAGCTTGCAGATCCCCAGTCACTTAGATTGGCTGAGAATCTAGCACCATTTTAATTTATTTTTTTTCATCACACAAAATTATAATGATTCTTTGGTCCCCCTGAGTTGGCCCATCTGAAGTTGTGTGCAGTCTTCAGAAATTATTCCTGTAAGTGGTTTACTCACAAAAGCAACAAGTTTAGCAAGTTAGCTAAATTTCTTTATTCCTTTTGTGAATAACAATGAAAACAGTCTAGTTACTGCCTTCTAGACTAGGCTGGATTTTTGTAACATCCTGAAATACTGAGATAAACCTCCAGTGGGATAGTCTGGGTACTTGGAAGATTGTGATGGCTCCAGTGTTTTGTATTCTTAATACCAGTGAACAATCTCATTTGGTGCTGTGCCAGTTATCAGCTGCTGAAGTACTTAAGGTTTCTAATCATTGCCCATGGCAGTAGTTGATCTCTGAGGATGGGCTACAAAGAACAGTCCTGTAATTTAGTCTGCTGTTGTCTACCAGTGCTTGATTGCTGGATCTGAAAGCTTGTATACTTATGTGTAACTTACTGATCATGGCATTCCACAAAGTTTATGTGCTGAATTTAAAATACAGTTGCACACTTCTTGGACATATACCAAGAACACTCTTGCTGCTGGACCAAGATCACTGATGCATTCAGAATTTCTGATAGAATATTCACCAAGATGAGTATGTTGCAGTGATAAAAAGATTTGTACTTTTATCCTCAGTTTGATCAGAGCAGGCAGTCTGTTTCAGAAATATTTTCATTTGTTTTTTAACTTAGTTAAGGACTTGAGATGTAAAAATGGCCATAGAAATGTATCTGTACAGTTTTTTCCTTTTACCCAACAGTCCTTCAGAAAGCCTGCTTTGTGACTTTGCTTTCAAATAGTCCACCTGTTTTTTGATCCAAACCAGGTTCATTTTTCCACTGTAAGGAGATACTTATTTCCAGGTTACCAACTAGTTTCTGCAAGGTTTTTTAGTAAACATATGTGTCAGGTTATTCAGTATGCAAAAACTGAAGGTAGCACATGTTCACCAGGAATTTCTTTTAGATCTATTACCATTTTCTGTTATATTTCCAGGTGGTGGGCTGGTACAACTGCTGTGTGCTCTAATTTTTTAAGTGGTTAGATGAAAGCTCCACATTATTATTCCAGAGCTTAAAGCTCTTAGTCTAGCCTATTGGAATCCTTCACTTTGATCAAGAACAAAGAATCATCTTGAGGCTTGGGATAGGGAGCCTTGGAATTCTACATACAGGAAAATTCTTTAAAACAAAGGTTGTTTTTTTCTGTTGGGATGTTTGGGGATTTTTTTAATTGTTTGGGGTGGGGTTTTTTTTGTGGTTGTTTTACAATAGCAGAACTTAGTTATTGTGGCTGAAGTTTTGCAGTCAAGGAATCTTGTTTTCAGTGGAAGTTGCCTCACATCGACCAAGAAGCAGACCAATTTTTCTTAGTTCTGTTGAGTTCACTTTAGACTGGAACTTCTCTGATGATCCTGCCCCTGCAATGAGACTGCAGGACTTTTTACATCCTCTTGTGCATAAGATCAGTTCCCAGATAAGCTGAGATGTTGCCAGCATTTACAAATCAGAGACTGGAAGTTTAATGATGTAATTTAGAAGCTAGGTGAGAATATTAATTTGAGCCTGTATGTGTTCAGGTCATCTTCATTATCTACGTTTTGGACACAGGAAAACAGTGAAGTTTTCCTGGGTTGCTATTATATATGCCACTGAGGTTTCTTGAGATAATAACTATTTTGATTCTGTGGCTGTCCCAAGTGGATCTCAGCTTCCTTATAGCTGTCCATTTTGGTCATCTGTAGCAGTGGGGGGGATGCAGAGTCATTGTCAGAATTCTTAATTGCAAATTGAATTTCTCTGCTGCAATATCTTCGCAGTCTGTGTCTTAACAGAAAGGACAAAGGGACTGGGAGACCTAAACTCGCTCTCACCTACAGCTTGTGTTGCCAGAGTGGGATGGTGGATGTAGGTGTTGATAGCCAGAGGTCTGCTCAGCCTTTAATCTGTTGCCAAAGGTGATTCCTTGTTTGGCCTGTGACTAAAACCAGTCCTAAATTTATGCTTAGTTATCTTTTCCAAACATACTTATTCAAATATATTAACATATATGTTTTGTTTGTGTGTTTGTTTCCTTTCTTTTTCTTTTCTCTTTGGGTTAACAAACTGTTTGAGGCTGCTAGGCTGCTTTTTGTCTGCATATTCCTCTGGATCATATGCTCAAAGTCATACCACTCATCTGCATTTCCTAGTCACAAGTACAGACCTGTGAAGCTAAGCACCAGATATCAAAGTGGTATTTTTGTAGTCTGTGGAGAAGTGACAGTGACTTCATCCTCACTTCTGTCTTGGTAGGCTGTCAATAAAAGAAGGAATTGGAATATATTTCCCTCAATGTCTCATCTCTCTTACTTGCATCTCTATGATGACATATCAGGTGCTAATATACCCAAGTGTGACCTACTTGAAAAGAAATTCAGTTAATTAAAAAATTACATTTGTTTTGCTTTTTCCCCATAACAATTTCTGACCTGCTACTTCAAGCTCTCTGTGTAATTAAGTGTGTTTAAAAATTCCTATGTGCCTAGTCTTGATGGGAGAGTGATGTTAAGACCCATTCTTATGCTCTTGGATCACCATCCATCAATGTTGATTGTTGTGTAGCTCTTTTCCACTGTAGCTATCTTAATTTCTTGGAGTATTTTCCTGAAGATTACCTTAGCTTAAGTAACTCAGGGAAGCTGTATCCATTTTTCTTTACACCTTGGGAGTGTTCTAGAATAAAAGAGTAAGAGGAGCAAGTAACCCATAGCTTCATGCCAGCCTGCCTCAGTAAGAAATTGGGAACATCCTGAGGTGACATTCATGAATAATTCATTTTTTCTCACCATCAGTCATTAATATGCTTCACTTGAAGCCATAAAGATTTTAAAATGTTTTTAAAGTAGCTAAAAGCAGTGGATTTCTCTTAGGACCTCAGTTGGGTCTTTGTTTTCCATGTACGAGCGGGTGATGTTGCCTGCCACTGCAGCGGGACAAGTCTGGCTGCGTCCTTTGGGTAGGGCTGGTGCAGACTGGGCTCTTTTTGTTATGAGGCAGCTGCTTTCCCCAGTGTACTTAAACACTAATGGTAGACACACCGGGAAGCATATGCGGAAGGAGTACACATGTCATAAACTGCTCATTCTCCCAGCAGGCAGACTGTATTCAGCGAGGCAGCCAGCCAGATTTCACCCACGTTCTTCAGTTCAATCAGTTCTGTTGTGGTAGATTTTGAGGTAAAGGCATTGTATCAATTTTGCACAGGAAATAGAGGCATCAATGTACTGAAGCATGCTGTTCAGTCATTTTTTAGCTGAATGCTAGTGTCTGTAATCCAGACATAAACCTGTATTTCCTGAAAAGAAAGAAATGTTAATTTTTTTTTAAAATAAAGGTGTCCTGTTTTTAGGTCTGTAAATATAT